GACTATAAACTAACACACACAATTATCAGACTGTATAAAACACAGATTGGAAGTTACTGTTCTAGACTTCTAAGAGAAGCATTGTCATGAATCTCAAAGAAATTCACAGGAAAGCAATCAGAAAAAAACATATCATTTGTGCCCAGAGGCTCTAGGCTCAAAATGTAGGTAGTATATAATAGACTTTTCACAGAGAACAACAATAAAAAATAGACTTACCAAGTAGCCAGCCATTTTTATGTAGCTCAGTCTCAAACTGCCTTGTCAGGGCTGCCTGCTGTAACACAGTGCAGTCGGGCAGGCTGCCTGGCCAGTGTGTTTCTGCGCTCAGGAGGACTCCTCTGGCATCACACACCATCAGGCAGTTCAGAGAATGAAGTCCCTTTCTGTTCACATAGGACAGGTCCTCAGCATTTGGTGCTTTGATTGCGACGTGGGTGCAGTCAACCACCCCCAGCACTCCCGGCATGCCTGCCAGCCCATAAAAGTCATCCTTCAGGCGCTGGACAGTAGCTTCATCCTCAGGAAAGTGAATGAACTGTGAGGCTCTTTCCACCAATGCCTCAGTTACGTTGGCAACGCAGCGGCTCATGGAGGCTTGGCTAATGCCAATAGCATCCCCCATGCGAGTCTGGAAGGAGCCGGAGGTATAGAAACCCAATGCAGCAAGGATCTGTGTCTCTGGACTGATGGCCCTGGACCGCTGTGTAGGGCGAGAGAGACTCGCTCCCAGGAGATCCACCAGGTAGTAGATGAACTGTCGGGGAAAGCCGTACGTGGATACTAGATACTCATCCGTGACATCCTCCAGCTTGAAGCGATCCAAAGTCCTGTGTCCACGGCCGTAGAGCAAGAGGTCGCAGTCAAGAACCGCAATAGGTACTGCCATGGCTAACGGCTGGGGGTCCTCTGCTACAGCGCTTCCCCAGAGCCTTCACCTGCACAAGGCAAAGGGGAAGAGGACTCAAAACGGGTAAAAAACGGGTAAAAACCGGTCAGCCTTTCAGACTCTGTTACCATTTTCCTTTCACGAAGGATATCCAGCATAACTGTTCACTTTCACCTGCTTTTCAAAACACGGGGTGGAAGCAGGGGGGCTCACTGACGACTCTTCAGCCCTGCCTGGCTCCCGTGACGGGGAGGGGGCTC